CACACACACACACACACACACACACACACACACACACACACACACACGTTTTTAAGTTTTTGTTGTACCGTCTGACACTTCAACCGATTTCAATAAAGGAGGAGTTTCTTTTTTTTGTACGTATGTTACGCGATAACTCTAACACTTACGTGATAAATTTGTGAACCGATTTTGATAATTCTTTTTTTGTTGGAAAGAAGATGCCTCAGTAGTGGTCCCATTTAAATTTCAAGAAATTATTCCACCTCCAAGGGCGCGTTTATACGACACGAATTTCATCGCGCTCACCCCGCGCGGTCGCCGCGCGAAGTCTGCGGCTGCCGCCGCCCAGCTACCGTGTGCACGTGTTCAGAGACCGAACTGTCATGGCAACATACTCTCTATTTATTTAGCTTTTAGGTGGAAGGCACTAGGTTGTCTTTTGTCTACGCGGTCGCCGAGCGGAGTCCGCTCTCCGACCGCGTGGCGGCCGCGCGAAAACTTTCTCCTCGCGTGTCTGGGCGCTAAGGGTGGCATACTAGTGAATGAATCCGGTTTCGTGCATTGTCCGGCAACCAATGTCAATAAAACTTTACCGAAACCGACATCAAAAATTCGTGGAATTACATTACATTTTTGAAGTCGGTTTTTTTTATAAAGTTATACCGCACAGAGTTGTCACCGTTTATAGCGATCTTTTTAAATATTTTTGTACGAAAGTAAAATCTGAAATATAATCCACAATAATATAGTATAATACTAATAATGATGTATATTACGTATATACTATTGTTATTACATATATACGTATACATATATTATTGTAATTTTTAATGTTATTAAAATTAGAAAATAATAGCATTACAATTTTTACATTCCAGGGAGCGCTTACATCAAACGAAAAACTAACTTCACTGGGACGAACCCTAGCCAACCTGCCAGTAGAAGTGGAACTTGCGAAAGCCCTAGTGATCGGCAGTGCAACTCTACCACCTCACAAGAGAGATTCTGCCCTCGCTTTGACTGCAGCTTTGGGCATCCGCTCTATTTATACTACGAGGGCGCATAGGGATTTCGAATGTGAGGTAAATTGACGAGTCTTATTAACACAAATTATCGCAGAATAATTTGAGTTATTAATATTTTTTTGTTTGCAAATGGCAGTCTCCAGTATTCAGCTTCAGTCGGTTGTCACTTCCAATGCAATGATTCCTAATTTTACCGTTAGATAGCGATGGTAGTCAAAGTTAGTAGCAATAGTAGAGCTCCTTGTGAAAGAGTTCGTCCAGGGAAGTACTGCCACCTTACGTATTTCTGTGTGAGCAATACTGTGTTCCGATTTTGAAGAATAAGGGCGCTGGTGAAATTACAGGCACATCGACTTGTCAACTTATATATCAGGATGACGGCGCAGTGGCAGTGCCCCTAAGATTTTTGTGATTTAAAGCTCTGAGTGGCACTGTAACTGTCATGGACGGGCGTATCGCTTACCACTGGGGGCATATCTTGTTTGTTCCATCACTTACCCTCATAAAAAAAGCTTCAGTCAATTGTTTCATGATTCCTAATTTTACTGAGCTTCTAGGTTTCAACTTTGCATGCTTTCCATGTAAAATCAAAAAACGTCATAACTTGCTATAATAGGTATTGAACCCTTTCAACGATATGGGAACAAGGTAAGGTTGAAATTATATTAACAGTACAGAATGTGTTACTTCTTTTTAAAATAGAAACAACGGCCTATCATTATCAAGATTCCACAGTGTTTAACATGATAAATGTCTGAGTTTTGGCTAAAGCGGTTATGATAGTAATCGAGCTTTAAGACACTTCCATTGTTTTTTCTTCCGTTGTACTGATGCATAGAATCACCCCATTAAATTCTCGCAGACCTTATGGCGGTGCCTGTGGTATTTTCTGGAGGGTGTTGCTAATATACACAGTAAAAATGTTACGAGAACCTTAATCAGCTCATGAATACAGATAACTCTTGGTCATTTGGCATCTATCGAGACAACGTAATTTTGTTTGTCCAGAACGCTCGCAAACCAGACGAATCTGACCACGGCGATCCGATAACCCTTCTCTCTTTATACTGCGCGTGGTTGGCAGTAAAAGCAGAAGGCCAAGGCGGACGCGCATGGTGTCGCAGACGCGGCATCGAGGAACAGAGATTATATGAACTGACTAAGTTGGCTGCACAACTCCGGAATTTACTGCAAGTGAGTGATATATACACAGAGCTTTTAACCGCTGTCTGTATGTCGTAGGTGTCAGGGTAATAGAAATATGATTTTTTAATTATTTTTATGTAATTACAAAAATTGTATTACCATGTAAAGGGATTTTTCGTTTAATTAAATTAAAAAAAAATCATTTCTATTACCGTGAAATCTAAGATATGGGTAATAGGTAGCAAATGACCTCCAAACCTCGCAACAGTTTTGCCAGTCCATCTGCATAACACCCTGTATAATATGAACTGTTAAATCAGCCTCCTTTAAGAACGGCTTTAGGATACAGTCTTCCGCTGTGAAAAATTATTTAAAGATGTTTGTGAACATTCCCTTCAGTTCTTTAATTTAATTGTATAATGCTACTTTTGTGTCTAAAATTAGGAATGAAACTTTTCATCTGTATGTAAATGGTGGGTATTTTCCTTCTTCAAACAAAACAACTGTCCGATTACTGTACTATAGCATGGGAACGTAGCTTGGGATTGCGTAGCGAGAGGTACTATATAAATATAAACGGCGATTATATCATAACTTTATGCATGTATTCAATGTTCAAAGCTTTGTCCAGAACTCCTAGATGTCTGTTTGACATCAATACTCTGTTATTCTTACAATTCTAAATACAAAACCTAAGCTGCCTGTACTACAGTACCATCTTTGTCACCCGTGACCATGCCTACCTGTAAAGAGCCTGTAACGTTGGTTTGTTTGAAAAACCTAGTATATGCGATTTTAAGTACGTATTGAGAACTCAATACGTATCTAAAATTATCGACAATTAGCACATTCAAGTAAATGCAAGTTCATTTTATCTGTAGGACAACAATCTAATGGAAACACCAGAACCTGAGTCAATGACGTCAGCAGAACGAGCGATGCGTCATGGACAGTTGAAACAACTGAAAGATATGAAACGGTAACGATTACTACATCTACATTTGGACCGTTCAGATATAAAATTCACTAGGATTTAACTTTCACGTCGTGGTGAATGTTCACTGATCCCACGGCGCCGACTCAACCGGCGAGAGGGAAACCCGGGGGGTTTTAGTGGGGTAGGCCCTCCAGTCTGGAGGGAGAGTCCCCACATAACCCCTGAGTCTCCATAAAGATTTCCCCCCGTCAAAAAAAAAAGGATTTAACTTACACAAATACTAATTAGTTATATCTAATACAAAAATTGAGGACCAATTTCAGCACGACAACATGAAAGACGTAAGATGTTGCAATTTACACCACTGTTTCTGAATACCGCACCGACCACGTGCCCTTAGTGACTCATTCGTGTTTATCGTGATGCCTATGTATTAAGCAAGTGAAAGAGAGAGCGTAATATACCTGTCCCGCTCCAATGACTTATGACTACTGTCGAGTAATATGCAAATTTATCTGAAAAATTGGTAACAAAATTGTTCGAAGGCTCATAGTATGTTCTACGTTGAGATGTATCTTTCGAAGTTTTATTTAGCGTGAATTATAAAAATATTTATTTTTCAGAAAAATGATGAATTTTTCGAAATGGAAATTTTTACCATGACCCAACATTACTTATGACCGAGTTTGCAGCGAGTAAATAATTTTACTATAGTAAATAATTAACTTAAAATGATACAGACAATACAAACAAAAAGCGGCAGAAGAATCGAAACGGAAGAAACGCCTCAAAGTCGATTCGTGGGAGATAGTCAACGACAAAAACGAAGAGGAAGACGTCATGGACATTCGCGATATTGAATTTCGTATGACCAACGATGCAGGAAGGATCAGAGCTCTTGTTTCTGGTGCTTCTGCTTCAAGTGGACGCGACCTTATTATGTTGAAGGTAGGAATGAATGAAAAATGATTACACGTTGACGGATTTACGGTTTTTGATGCAATTTCAGCCTGTATTAATAAACAGCAAAGTATGTTATTAAATTTATAACTACAATTTTAATGTAGGATTATTTTTTTTCAGTTAGTGTTATGCAGAGCGTTGTACCCACAAATTGCAGTCGCAGATGCATTTAACCATTGCAAGGTTATTATTTTATTGCTTTTACTATTTTAAATTTAACTTTATATTTTAAAATAAGAAGCACTGTCGCCATACTTACTTCTGCCGCCAAGCAGTACATTACTGTGTTCCAGTTTTAAAGGGTAATGTTGCTTTTGAAACAAACTATAGGCACATGGGACTTGTTAACGTTCTGTCTTCGGGTGACGGGTGCAGTGGCAGTTTGGGATGTTTTTTTTTAAATTGGTATTTGTCTGAGTGCTCTGCAATAGTGCTTCGGGATTAATTCCTTTAATTTAAAACTGTGTAATTGATGTTGTTGAACAGGCAAAGTACAAATTGTCACAAGAGTAATTAAAATAAATAATTTAGCAAATATAATAAATTTTAAAAAGATATTTTTTTTATAATATCAAGTGACGTAATAGTAAGCTACACGCCTGCCCATAACAGTTCCAGTGTCACTCAGAGCTTTAAATCACAAATATCTGAGGTACACTCCCACTGTACCCGTCACCCTGAGACATAAGTTGTCAAGTCCCATGTACCTGTAATTTCACCAGCACCCTTACCCTTCAAAACTGGAACTGCTTGTCGACAAAAATAGGTAAGGTGGCAGTACTTCCCTGGACGAACTCTGTCACAAGGAGCTCTACTGCTACAAGGTCCCGGGTTCGATTCCCGGGGCAGGAGAAATGTTTGTAGAGAGCTCAGAGCTTTATATCGCAAAGATACCGAGGAAAATGGTAGATGAAATAAAAACAGTTGACCTACAACAAATCAGTTTAGTTCTTCGATGAATCAAAATAATTTAATAAACAAAATTAGTTATCGTTGTCAATTTAATGTCAACAATAATAAGAATAAAACGACGGATTTACTGTATTACATGAATAATGTACGACAAGTCGCGTAGCTGAACGTTTGTTTGTTTTTTTCATCGAAAGAAAAAGATGCACCACTGTGGTGCAAGTTCGAATTTCAAAAATCTTTTCCACGATAGCTTTGAGAAAACGCTTTTGCGCGCAGATTTCTAATGAGAAAGAAAACCTTTCCGAGCTAGTGAGGTGAAAATGACCATTTTTATTTTACTGTCTTTTTTTAATTTTTCTTTCTGTGCTTTGATGACATCTACTGGAAATTAATCACAACATCGTTGAAGCAGCGGCGCAGTCATTTAACGTTTTTTTGTTTTTGAATTGTATCGAATCACTCACGCGACAGACTTCTATTGTAACAGTCTTTCCTACAAATATGCGAGTATTTTATCAAAGAAAATAAAACGATTAAGTTACGTACAGGTTGGTATAGAGGCAGGGAACAAGTAGAGAGGAGAGGATAAGAGCCTGTGACATAACGACACACACACTCTTACAGTGTCTTTGACGTTGGTCTCTATTATATTCTATTCATTAGATCACAATTGACAATGTTTATTTGAATTCCAGTCAATATTCGAACAAATATACCACACGTGGAGTAAACCGTTCGTGTTTCTCCACCCGACATCAATCTTCGGCAAGCAACCGCGGGTGCTGCAACTAAGTGACGCGGACATGCAAACTGATCCACCTCCTGGTTATAAGAGCAAATTGCCGCTGTCGGATAAACATCAGATATTGTGTTATTTGTAAGAATTTATCTAAAATGATTTAGAATAGAAATCAGCATCAACTGTTCATTGATATTTATGGATAATAAAACTTTATTAAAATTAAAAAAGTACCCGAAACAATACAGTGTGCTCTAAAATGGCAATAAAGTCACCATCTGTAAATATTCATTTTATGAAATTTAATTGATTATTCTAATTAATTATTTCAATTCCATTGTTTATTCTCCTAGCATACAAACATTGTTACCTGATGTGTTCGTAATTTTTTCAGATCTCTCCTCGAGACTACAAAACCGTATATAGTAAACTCAATGCGCATGCCTGCTGCGCAAACGTTATTGTTATTGGCTCACTCGATTGACACTAATATTGGGTTTACCAGGTAATTAAAATAGATAAAAACACATTTTTGATGCTGTTATAATAGCTTACTATTATACTAACACAGATAGTATAATACTATACTAGTACAGATACCCAATCTCATATAAAGAAATGTCACACTTGTAACTCCGTTTATTCGGACGCTTGTTTTGATTCTTAATGTAGATCAATAGATGGTACCAAGTAAACCTCGCGATGCCATTGTCCAGATTGTTTCTCTTGTTTAGGCGTTGACTATTTACAGTGTTTTTTTAATGGGACAGTATGGGGAAATCCGAAACCATAGAAGATACAAGGAAGCTTAATGTTATAAAAAGAGACTGTCCGAAGAATTTGACCAACTTCTGCTGTCGCAATTTTTTTCTTCCCGTACAATGAAGTCATCCTTATAAGAAACTGAGTCTATAAGCATTAAAAACTTACATCCATATACCTCACGCCATTTCCCCATCGGGTACGCAGAGACAACAATCTTCCACTTGCTACGGTCCTGACACACATCTTTCGCCTCATCAACACTGAGGCGCGCACAATTTTATTCATTTTGTATAAAAAATATTGTATGAAAGACAACTTCGGTTGTCCCGATTTTTTCGTCTCATACACTGAAATGATCCCTTGATCCCTGAAACTAAGTCGACAGCACTAAAAAAAAAAGATTTTTATTCATTTTATAGACAACCCACACGTGATCACAAAATTTGCTATGCCAAAATTGTTCTACAAAAAAGACTTAATGGTTCCTAAGACAGTTTCCTTGTATCATGTATAGTTGCAGATTTCCACATAAAAAAACACTGCATACAATAACATATAATAAAATTGCAAGGAAGCGGAGTCAGTACTTTTAATATTTTAAAGTATAAATCGACGCTAAAACGTTACTTAGTTTCGAGACCAAATTCAAAAAAGCATTTATTACAAACAACAAATAAAAAATATAACATTGAGAAATCTTCGATTTCTTATCTTTTCATAGACACTACCGTTTTCACCACCTAACATGTTTAAATAGTTTTGTATTATACTTATTATTTAGTATGACTTACCTTAAATTTTCGAGATTCAATACTATGTTTGTAATTTGATCCAAGCGTCGCCATCTACAGATTTACATATGTACTAAAGTAAATTTGTATGAAATGGTACCCCATGATACTAATATATTTTGGTTTTCCGAAAACCAAGCTCACCTCAGAATATGGTAGATTGTACTTATTTTCGTGGATTAAATCATTTCTGCATAATTCGTCTCTTTTCTTGATGTGAAAAGTTAAACTGTTTCTGTTTTGAATAAATTAAATTAATTCTAGTTACAACAATTGGACAGATTAACCACATTATAATGTTATTGAATATCATGATGTTTGAACTACCGTGATATTCATATATTTTTCCGAAATAACTCCACTAGTTTGTTATAATTATTAATACAAAGATGGAAGACAAAGAAAAATTCTTTCAACCTACCAGGTTTCGAAACTGCAACTGTGCCAAACCAGGGCCACCGCTCTATCAACCGAGCTAAAGATCGAGTCAGCAGGCCTTATGAATTTCTCCATGTATTTGTTATAGATCTGTGTTTTAATAATTATGACCAAATTTTATTCTCACATTTTCAGAATTGTATGCGATTCGTGGTTGTTGCTGGAGTTTCCATTTCCCGAGACTGGATTGAGTTTATTAATGAAAGCCGTTAAGTTACGACAGAGATGGGATGCTCTTATCAACCGACGACTTGCAGGTAAGTCTCCTTAACAGGTTCTACAATTCGCGTAGACAAACTTCACCTCGCCTGCCTTCTGAAACCTAAGCAATGTTGTCAATTGCCTGCTCTATTATGTTCTTATACCTGTGCCTCTACCACCAGTTTACTGTGACTTTTTTTTAATGATACTATGTGACAGGACGAACAAGTCGTGCGCCTGATGCTAAGTCTGTCCATAACAGTTGCAGTGCCGCTCAAAGTTCGCTGCCACTGCCCAGGTCACCTTGAGACATAATAGTAGGCTCATGTGTCTGTAATTTCACCAGTACCCTTACCGTTCAAATTTGGAATGCAGTAATGCTCGCATTACTGCTTGGCGGCAGAAATGGATAAGGTACTACCCTGGGGGCCTTAACCTTTCCAAAAACAATCTTCTTTCAATGTTAGCTTAAAGTAAGCTTATTTTAATATTACTCATATTTGGACCATGACGAACCTGTCAACCAAGTTATGTATTATTGCAAAAGTGATTGAAAGAACGAATGATTTCCCAATATTGTCTATTCCTTACTAAAAATAGGAAAGAGATAACGCTATGTGAACTATATAATGCCATCTCTTTCTTTTTTGATGTTCCGAATCGTCTTATCGTAGTATAATGTTTAAGTACTTAATGTTATTTACATTCAGCGAATTTTGACTGTTAAGAAAAGAAAAGTATGTAATAATAAAATCTATTAAAATTACGTTGTTTTCAATAATTATTCCGCATTTTCATCAAGTAAAATAAATAAAACAAGCTGAGTTTTGATAGTCACGTTGTGAATTCGGAACTATAGTCTAGTGTCAACGGTTAGTTTCACCAAGGAGCATATAGATGGCGCTGTTATAATTTTACGAAATAAACATCGCGTATTTTTATTTAACGAAAAAGTATTTACTATGTGCTGCTAAATAAAAAAATAAACAAAATATTGAAGAGATATATGTAAATAAATAAGTTCAATTATATTTAAATCATTACAAATCAATATTAAGACAATAAAACTGAAAAGAATATTGTTTCCATTGCATCCGTGCAACTTTTTAAGATTCCTAAATTTGACATATGACCTTACTTTAATGTTTTTGTACTTCACAATTTTGTAGGGCAAATTATACAGCGCCCCTAGCGGTCCTAAGAAGAAACAACATTTTGTATACAAACACTGCGTAGTGTTTTGTATACAAGCACCGCGTGGTCGCTAGCGATAACTGTAATCTCGTGGTACAGGCACTTCCTATCCTATTCTCAAACGTTTTTGACATTTAAAGGATGACGGTCACAATGTATATTTGATAAGCAAACCGGGGTGCTTTCATGTCTTATGTATTGGGTTGTCAATTTGTATTTTTTGCTCTAACCATTATGGGCAATGGTAGAATATTAACGAGGGCTTATATTCCATTGTAGCTGAGTCACAGACCCACCTCACGCTCTTTTCTTATCGGGTGAGACAAAATCTTTGCCTCTTAGTCTGCATCGTCCATTTGACGTATTTGAATTATTATTCATTAGTATTTTTTTATTGTATTGCATGTTAAGTAAAATAATTCAGATTTGATATATTCTGTCATAATAGCTAATAATAATTATTCTGCAACACATATATAGATTATACAGTCTTAACCATAAATTGCTTAATAATACTACATACCTGAGCTTTGTCACATTGTCATTACTGTTGATTTAACTAAGAAATTTCCTATAGTAAATAATTCAACCATGGATTAAACTGCACAGTGTTACTTTTTTTAGTTTGCAAAGTTGTACTCTATGCAAAAGACGTAAAGTATAATTTTTAACAAAGGATTTTGACACATTGTATATGTTTAGGTATAGATCACCGTCCATGTAAATGAACTTAAAAACTTAAACTTTAATAAACAGTTAAAATAAACATGCATATAATTATAATTATTTCAGATGCAAATACGAACAAATCGGTAGAAACAGAGCTCCAAAAGAACCAGCCTAAAGCGTCGTTTGAAGAGCTGCAGCACAATCTGTCCTGTGACATCAGTTCTTATATGAGCTCGGAAGTGTACTACACTATAAAGAGGCTATTACCTGGAGATTTGAAGGCAAGGTTTGCTTTTCATTTTTCAGAATGATTTATCTTGCCGCATGGAGTTGATCACTACTGCCAGCTCCAGGACATGAAAAAACTCCATACAAAATAAATTGTGTTGGCGCCATTTTTGGGTGTATTGGGGATAGTAATTACTACTTTAGCCCGCAGTAAATTAAATTAAATTTATATTCACTAAATTCATGGCAAACGATATACAACTTTAAAAAGTTTTACTCTAATTTTTACTATGAAAACCAGCGGCGTTACGTAAGGTATATAAGGCTCTTTAATTTATGCCTTACGTTTACCTGTTACCAATATACACTAACTACTCTCGTCGCTCTACTTGATATTTGTTTTTACTTTCTTGAAGGCAAAGACAACTATTACGAAGGTTATTATCTTTTTGTGAATGCCTTAAATTGTAAGTTAGTACATTAGAAACCGTAGTGTATAAACATTACGATCAGAAACGAGCTATATTAATAGTCCGTTTCTGATATCAAGTATGTAAACTACACAAACTTCAGCCGTTACAAGTTGCTGCTTGACATTGGACTTGAATACCAAACGCCTTATATAAATATTCAGGCAAATAAACGCGTTGCCGATGCTATTAATTTTGTGCAGGCGCTTCCGTTATTACACTGCAGCTCATAGTAATATTGCTCTTTATATTTTATTTACAATCAAATCAAATCAAATCATTTATTTCTTTGTGATACACAGGTTATAAAGTTGTTACAAGAATGAATTTTGAATCACTGTGATCCGCCTTATGGCATACAAAGTTGACAGTATTTACTTTTACTTTGTGTGTATAAGCGGTGTGTGTATGGATGTAACAATAATATAATATATATATAAGAGTATAATCACAGGGTGTAATACAAATTTTGGTCATAATGTGTCCATGATACTGACACCATAAAAAAATAGACTTTTTAATATTTTTTAGCGTTTTTGTTCCAACGGTGATCAGATTTGTACGGAAAAGCCTTAAAATCGTTTCAAGCTTTCAAATTGTTTGATGTCATGGACGCTTTTGAAACCCAAAGTATTTATTAAACTTTACACAATAGGTTAGCAGTTCAATTCTCAACATGATACTTTGAGTATTTTTTTAAATGTACTGATGAAATTTTTAGTATCTCATAATATAACCGTACCTTTATTTTACAGGTTTTATATTGTGGTCCAGATGAAGCGCACCCGAGTATAGACCCAAATCCTTTTGAAGAAGGCTTTGAATGTCGTGCTCATGATAAGAAAGGAGGTGTTTACGTTACCGATAACGTTGTTTATAACTGGTAAATATAACGAATAGTTAATTTAAATACGATGAACGTTTCTCTAAATTCGTGATACAAAACTTGTTTCGTAACTTGTTAACAAGCTTCTTTGAATTTATGTTACACTTTGTCAGTTATCAATGGAAATTAGTGGTAGTAGAGTTCCTTGTGAAAGAGTTCGTATAGGAAAGTACAGCCCCTTTACCTATTTCTGCTGTAATAGCAGTAATGTGCGCATTACTGCGTACCAGTTTTGAAGGGTAAGGGTGTTGGTGAAATTCCAGACGCATGGGATTTGTCAACTTATGTCTCAGGGTGACGACCGCAATGCAGTGCCCTTCAGATCTTTGCGATTGAGCTCTGAGTGGCACTGCAAGTCGCTTACCACGTAGGCCCACGACTTGGTTACATAATATTAAAAATAATGGTTCCCCATTATCTGCAACTAAAGTTTTGGATTATGATAATAAAGGCTGCTCGAAAACTCGCTCATTTTCTTACAAGAAACATCTGTCAGTCACCCATACATTTTGAGTTCTTCCAACCGTTACATGGTAGTATGTGAAAAAATTCGAACTGTATCGGAGACCATCATATTTCAAGTCTTTACCTGGCACGTCATAACATATTCCCCTCCCATGTTGGGTCCGGACAAAAAGTCTGATATTTGCAAGAAGAAAGTACGGATATTTTGGTAACAAAATAAAATCGAAATCTTACTCTTACGCGACAGCAGAGATAGACTAACGCTCGAGCAGCAACACATTTGTTATATATCGATTGCAAGGTGGACATTCTACCTTTTAGCTTGAAAATTGTCACCCTAAGCCGAAAAATCCGGACTAATAACAAATCCGGACAGAAAATCAAAAAGCTGAAAATGTGCCTTATGGTAACTCTACATCTATGTCAAAAGTGACATATTTTAGTGGCCCTAATTTGCTAATCGCGTAATAAGCGACAAGAGTAAAACTGACTTATTTTCAGCGTAATAGACACCGATTGGAGTTACACAAGCTATCAAGAAGTCTACAGTCTGCCCTGGACCTGTGAATTGTGTCATATAACAGCTTGCCTGTCGCCATTAGAACGCTTCCAACATACAAAATTCACCTGTTCTTCTAGAACGCAAGAGAACCTTCCAGAAACTTCCTCAGCGCCAAAGGATAATAGACCTAATGCAAAAGAATATAAGTGTGAAACTTGTGAACAGAATTTGTATATGACGCCTGTTGAAATATTAAGGCACAAGAAGAGTTGTAAAGGAAAATAAATTTTGTTATTGTTAATAGGTTTTATTTTGATTATTAATAACCTACACCAACTCCTACACACGTGAACATGAAGTTCCATTACTTGTTCTAAGTTAATAAACACGGCCTTGAAGTTAAAATTACTATTCCAAACATTTCCGCCTAGTGTGACAACTGAGACGGAAAGAATTGGAAAACACAGTAGTACTTGGAATCCGACATATTTTCGACAACCACACACAACAGCACGAGAGACAAGTTTCTGTTCTCCGCCCAAAATCTTTGTCTTCAACAACAACAACACCTAGCAGTGTAATTGGTGACTACAACAATAAAATGTCTATGAAATAACTTTCAATATAAGTACTTTTAATTATTTATATATAATTAAGTAATGTAAATTTTTAATTATCAACTAATAAAAAACTAAAATTTAATATTTAATTAATGTAATGTGATCAAAGTTCCGGAAGGTACAACTTGGGGCCTCTTGCGGCATACGTGACAACCATGAAGTTAAAACATTGACTTACAATTATATGGACGTCGGGTCCGCGCTAAAAAGTGTCCGCACTTGTAAGGCGCTAAAATCGTATACAGAGCGCGACACTCCGCTTTAGTCTTCATTTGTTCTACTGACAGCGCGATACTGCGATGACATTACAATTTAAATTTCGAATAGGTTGACTTGGGACATTTTTTTCGTGATTTTTGTATTAGACCCGTCGTCCATTTATTTGTAAGTCAATGAGTTAAAATCAATAGTACAAGTAAAACAACTTACAAAATTGTGAACTTAAAAGTACAGCAGTTTGATCATTACATAATCATTATAATACAGTATCTTGGCTATTTATTTAAGACGAATGTAGTCTGGCTTTGGGAAGAACTCTAGTAACATCAAAAGCATATTAGGCTCGGAATGGAAGCGAATTTTTGTAATCATGTTGTAGCACAAAGAACTTTATGGTCAATTGTGTAACATACAAACTAATACGAGCCAAAATCTTCCACGGAATGCGCGAACATTCTCGAGCATGCGCGAGATTCATTATATTATGTACAATATCGTTACAAAAATTCGCTTCCATTCCGTTCCGCCGCAATATAAATTGAGCCTAAAGGTGCTTTTCCACCGGCGAGGCGAGACGTGGATTGAAATTTGCATGGCAAAATCTCAATTCTTTCCTAGTGCATCTTCGGTGGAAATGGTCTGTTGATGTAATATTGAACCGTATTGCTGCCTACAACTCTTCACCGGAAATACGATTTCTCACGCGAGCCCGCGTAAAATATAATATTTATTTATTTGAAAACTTATTTAGTCATTTACGTAATATAAGCCTATTAAAAAACCTCAACATTTTAAATATTTAAATTCATCAACTAATTTTACATCCCACTGCTGGGTTTTCTCTCAGGCGAGGGTTTAGACCATATTCCACATCGCCGCCCGGCCCAATGTGGATTGGGGACTTCATACGTTTTCCGAGGGTTGTGAACCTTCTTCGACGTGCATGTGTGCATTACGATGTTTTTCTTCACCAAAAAGTTCATGGTTAATTTCAAATTAAATGTTTTTCATAAATTCCGAGAAACTCGGAGGTACGGGCCCGGGTTCGAATCATATGAAAAATTTCCACTATTTGATATTTTTCGGAAAATTACCCAACAGTAGGGCCACGTAAAGTACGTAGAAGGTTATGTTAATTCTAGGGTCGGCAGACTAAAGCACGTAAGTCAAAATCCAACAGGATTCATTTAAATTAATACATTACCGGGTAAAGCACATAAGTCAAATTCATTTGTTACTTCAAGTTTGTAAGTCAATGGTTACTTCATAAATTTCTAACTTTATTGTAGAGGTTATTTTACTTCCAACACTAAAAATAACACAAAAAATATATACTTACATATATATAAATAAATGAAGCACTTTTTTGACTTATGTGTTATGTGTTTAGTCCACCGACCCTAGAATTCGTAATTGCAATTAAAAATTAAAATATATATATATTAAAATATATAGCATCATTTAGCAGTCATCATTCGTGAAGAGACGGAAAAATGGCGGGTTTATTGTAAAATAGTTACAGGTTTTTCACAAATTTGTTTTTAGTTTAAGTATTATTGTGAGTTTCTTAATTATTTATTGCTTGTTTAAGCTGATGGCTCCATAGCCAATGCTTAACAAATAAATAAATAAAATAATCTTTCATGAAAGTTTGTTTATTAACAAACTTGCGTATCGCGACGGGTAGCACAAAATGTAGTAAATTACCAAATTATTTTATGTGTGGTATGTTAACCAATGAAATGAAGTGGAGTAGTATCTTGTGTTACTACTTACTATTTGTAAGCAAATGTTGTGTTTTAATAGTCACCACTGCGCCTTTTTAACGAGAAAATATTTTTTTCTTAAAGTAAATGTTTTTTTTTGTTTTGTTTTGTTTCTGCTTTATTATGGAAATTTTTTACGCCTCGCCAGTGTAGTCTACCACGCTTTACACCACTGGTACATTTATAAAGCTTATGTACTATATAGTTTTTGTAGGATATTTTAGATTTTGAAAGTTAGTTGTACCTACTTCAATAAGCTCAAAAATAGCAGTTCTAAGCAATAATAACTTGTTGGTAAGTAGGCGAAAATAACAATCCAATATAAATTTTATTGAAATACCTACATAGAATCAATTTCAACACCCCAATGATCACTGTGCGTGCTGTATCTAAAATTGATGTTGCTTCATAAAATTTTATTATAGGTACTACAGTTGGTTGTATGATTCACTATGGAAAGGTTTACAACTTTTCCATTTACTAGGGTAAGTGTACCAGTGAATGAAACCTTAAGGAAATTCTCAACTTTTTAAATTTATTAATAATACAATTTCAATATTCTTACAGCCTGACGTCTACCATGGTGACCTCTCACTATTTAAGATTCATTAAAACGATTCTTCAGAGTTGTATTTAGAACAGTTATCAAAATATTTGATAAAATATCTGAAAATACCCTGAATCACCAGTGAATGAACGCCTTTTGCTAGTAAATGAACGCAATAAAACCCAGTAAATGAACACAAATATTGTATTTATAAAATAATCAAAAACATAAATGTTTTAAAAACATTTCACAGTAATTGTTACACTAACTTAAGCTAAAGTTACAAATATATAACAGTGACTGAAGTCATTGTTTAAATCAACCCAAAAATGTATTTCAGTCTTAACTAAACTTTAACTCACAGGATAACATTCTTAAAGTATTGGCATAACATAATTAGGTACCTATTAAAGTTATACTTATCTAATTATTTCAGTCTCAAAATATACACCTAGTACCTATGTAACAAACATTAATAGGAACAACATAATAATATAATATAAAGAGATCTTTTTTCACTTACTACCTAGCTAAGAATGAAGAAGAAGGACTCACTCTATGTCTTTAAAGCTTACGTCAGTAAAAGAGATCATTCCTCGTCGTGAACAATTTGGTTCATCCAGAACACGTACAATGTCAGAAACATGTACTTCTGAAATATCTGGGACTTGGGGCTTAACAAAACTAACAACATTTTCAACAACTTTCTTCTTTCTCAAAAAATCTATCTTACATTTTAATCTTTCGTCGTCAATCATCAGAATTTTTCCAACAAAAGAACGTATTCTCTTCTCAGTCTTAAACTGCACAATAACATATTTACCACAAATTATATTATGTGGTGGATGATTATCACTGGAAACGGATGTGGACAAGAAATTTCTTTGTATATCTTCATTCTCATTTTGCGCGTTTTGATCAGTTTCTTTCTTCTTTTTTTGTTGTAATCGTAACGGTGTGGTGTTTTTTTTCTGCAAATTTTTATTGTTCCGTGTAATTTCACGTCTACATTCAATTCGGGCATCTCTTTCCTTCTTTTTATTTTTTTTATCTTCTTCTTTCTTTTCCTTTGCAATATCTAGTTTTTCTAGGTATTCTTTAAATTTACGTCCTGTTAAACCAAATGGCATGGGTTCCTTTTTCATTGTTTTTTTCTTTTTGGTTTCTATTTGAGGGTAAGATAAAAAGTTTTCGATAGGAACTTTGCGTTTTGGCACAATCGTGCTCGAAGGAGTACTGGAAATATTTAAGTTACTATCGCCCAAGACATGAGTAGATACTACTTTCTCTTGAAAAGTTATTTCGGGTTTATCAGCATCACCATCATGTATAAAGGGATCTATCAAATCACCGTCATCTTTAGAATTCAAAACAGAGGGACCTTCAGAAGAAACTGTGGCAACAAAATTGGTACATTGTGAAGTGTCAGGCATAATTACTTCGCTATGATAAGTTTGGGCAGTTGAACTATTGATGTCACAAAAGCTTGTGATAAGTTCATCGGATGTGATTTGCGAAAACGTATCATACCACGGCAAGGGTATAGGAGATTTATTTTTTTCTTTTTCGATGATAAAGTTTACTATTTCGTCTGTGGTGTCAAACCGTAGCCCAATACCACTTTCAAATAGAATGTCGTCGTCTAGAAGAATACTACAAGACTTACTCAGAACAGGTGGATCTGCTTCAATATTATTTTCATCGGAGCAAACACGAGTTTGTGCTTCAGTAACAGTCACCACGACAGGACTGCTTGGATTAGGTGAGGAAGGATGTTGGTCTTTATTTGATGATTCGGCCAGACATTGAGTTGACGTATTAGATAAATCAAGGGGAATATCTGTGGCTGATGAGGTTTCCGTACTCTGACCTCGGTTTTCAAGTTTTAACTTACATTTACTCCATAAACCGTATAAATAATGTTCATGAGATCGATTTATATTATAAGACTGCATGAATTCGTTTTTGATGATGTGTCAAACTTCATTTTCAATTACCCTCATTGTACTTCTTAAATCATCCTTTTGGTCATCAGAAATGCTCGCATCCATATTATTTTGCTCTTTAGCTATTTCTTGTCTTCTTGTATTGATGCACTTAGAGTAGTCAACTGCATTAGGATCAATAGGAAAT